CGGGACTACTACAGCAGATCATACAGAGGAGGAGGAGGGAGAGCTGGTCAAGACAGGGATCATATTTACAGAAGACGATCACCTTCTCCCTACTACAGTCGTGGAGGATACAGATCCCGTTCCAGATCTCGATCATACTCTCCACGCCGCTATTAAAAGCATGAAGTTGAAGACCGACACATTTCCTAGAGTTTGGGATTTTGATTGTGGACACTATATTTTTTTTTTATTGTCTCCTGTTTAAAAAGTGAACAGTGCCTAGTGAAGTTAGGTGACTTTTACACCTTTTATGATGACTACTTTTGGTGGGGTTGAAATGCTGTTTTCAGTGCAACAATGAATGAATGAGAACCCAAAATCTTTGTAAATGTTCATTGAAACTAACAAAATTAATAATACTGAAAAAAAATGCTGTTTTCATTCTGCATTTGTGTAGTTTTGTACTTTGTTCAAAGTTAAGTGTTTTCAGAAAAGTATGTTTTGCATGTTTTTTTTACAGTCTAAATTTTGAGTGCTAAGGAGTTTCTATTGTACAAAACTTCATTTAAAAAGTTTTTCTACTGAATCCAGGGTATTCTGAAGATCAAAGCCTGTGTGTAAAATGCTACCAAATGGCAAAAAAGTAACAATAAACAGTTTGGATTTGTACTTTTCTTTTTAACATAAGGATGTTTAGCCAGAACTGTTCAGATAAGTTGTCAGTAGTAAATTTAAACACAAACTACCATTTTTCTCAAGTTCATTAAAAATACAATACTTAATAAACGCGACTTATGTATTAAAAATATGCTCTGTAACTGTCTATTGCTAGAATTAGAACTAAAGATACTTCAAAACAGCACATGTTTAATGCTTATCTATCTAAATGTGGATTTGTCTGCCTTGATGCATCTATTATATACAGCAGAAAATAAGGAGAGATTTAAACAATTTATGCATATGAAAGGCTCACTCTTAAGCTGTTACAATGGTGATAATGGAATGGCATCAGCTAGATATCAGCAAGTGGTTACATTCCACCACAAATGTACTCTTGCTCCTCTAGCTTTTAGGCTATGTTAAAAATGCTGGGTGCTTGGAAGTACAAGATAAGAGAAGGTAACACGTATACACCTGTGTGGTGGATGATCTGAAGACTTTGACTGTTTTCTATTTCAACAGTCTTGTTAGGTACTTTATTCTGCAACAAGACCCAGTTTCAATCAAATGCTTAAATAAACTCAAAAGAACCCAAGAAAAGTTCCTTAGTATTTGGAACCTCCAGAGAAATATCTATCCTCTCCCCGTAACAGTGCCTTATTCGACCATCTCCAATAAAGTCCATCCCAATTATGTCCTTCATAATTAAATTTATTGTACCACAACTATTGGCCTTGAATTCTTTTGCTAATATTGAAAAAAAAACCCACAAAATTCAGCATGAAACTCAGAAAAAGTTTTGCCTGGAACCAAGATGGATAATTTTTCACTCTGAGACAGTAGAAAGGCCTCAAAATTTTTTACCATGTAGCTTTCTTTTTTATCTAAGGGCTGAGCATTTTGAAGAATTATCATTTGATCATGAAGTCACCTTTTGTGTTATTAAGAACAAAGATTAGACATTATTTCATAATCCCTGAATAAAACTGACTGGAAGAGGCAGAGCATAGCCAAATGGTGAGGAATAAACTCAAACTCAAAAGTAAGAGAAACTAAAAACAAAACAAACCTCATTGCTGTTGCAGTGGAACCTACTCAGAGCTGACCCTCCACTGCTTTCATGAGAGAAGACTGCCGCACTTTGTCCCATGGAGAAACTGGTGGATTTGAACCACTAAGGAGGCTTGGCCTTTGCATTAAGTAGCTCAGTTCAGTAAAGAATTGAATTTCACACCAAGAAAGTTCCCAGTTGAGACTAAGAAGTGTCAAATGTCAGTCTCAGAAAAGCAGTCCAGAAGGGATATGTGTGTAAGCCCAGATGTGCCTGGTTTGGATCCACCAGATGCTCTGCTGGAGGAGGGACAATCTCCTCCTATACCAG